GGAGGACTGATGGACGCCGGCCCAGGCGACTCATTAGACGTAAAATGGCTCCCATTACCCTGATGATCTGGCCCACGGAATTCTGAAAGTGAACATAAGTCCTGGAAAACACTTGCACATGGCGATCTGCCGTAAAAGCGAGAGCGGCCAGGGTGGATGCTAACCGAACACGGCAGTGACGAGAAGGCGGGACCAGCGTACCTCAAGCCATCGTTCCCGGTCCTCAATTCCTCTCACTTTATGCCTACTGCCTGTAAATTCAAACGGGTACGGGTCTTGTTGAACACAATAGAAGCCAACGGGGACGTTGTCAGGGCGTTCGACTAACCTAAACCCTGCCAATACAAGAGAACATGCGAGTCCCAGGAAGTAATTGAGAAAAAGACGACTCGATCGGTGGGATCGCTAGTTTATCTTTTAGGCTATCAATATCGTATACGCTCCGACACCAATACAACAAAAGGACGACTATTCAGAGGATGGAGAAATAGTTAGGGCAGACAGGTTGGCAAACACAAAGTCATCTTAACTTATTAATGGTCTTGCTCAGGTTTGCCTACCGGACAACCCAGAGGCAGTTCGTCCATTACGACTGTAAACCAAGCTATAGTTAAGTTCACACATATACGAGAACCACTAGATTGGAAAAGTTCGTGCTTACCAGAGCTGCAAGCCCCGGAGGCTGTTGTCGGTGGAGAAGGAGCGCTTCTGTGAAGTCGGGATGCCGGGTGTTGATGTAGGAGAGTTCAATGGACACGAGATTGGTAACCATCTCATTGGTTGGTGGGAGACGCTTGCGTAGGAGAGAGGTCACCACGTCCACTATGCGTTCGTGGAGGTTGGGGAAGCGAAGCAGCTCCTGCTACAAATGTTGAAAGCTGAGGATAAGGGGAGCGAAAAGCTGGATTCTCGAAACAAGGCACTCTCCACTTCGTCTGAAGCGCGCGATGACTGCATTTCTGTAGAGGACACTACAAGAGCCTGTTCTTCACACAACACGGTAGGACGGGAGCTAAGGCAGGCACCCTAAAATACTTCAAGATGTTGTTATATGAATCCGCACCCCCGAATGACCTATTTGGATAACAAGAAGATAATTCGTCGACTGCACCCGAAGTCATGTTCTCACGAAGAAGTATATAGTTCATTGTATGTAACAGTATGGCGTTTATGATACAAAACACGTCAGTGCTCCTACTTTCTTGTGGACTCAGCGCGCATGCAGGCGGAGGAGATACGAAAACAGGAGTGGAAAAAATGAAGTACCACCCCCAAAGTAATGATACGCGTGTGGTTATACTACTTGGAATAAGTGAGTAGTTGTGTATACTTACTCTTTTCGACCAGCAGGCAACTGCTCTGCAATTATGTAAACGACCTCTTTTTGAATTGATCTGGTGTATCGATCCACTTCTTGGCCACTTTGTTACCAATAGGAAGCTTAAAGGTGTTTGCCTATCTGTCCCTTAATAAAACTGAACAGAGCATAGGGAAAATGAGGATTTAAACATAAAATAAAACTATTAACACGAAAGAACTAAACAGTCCTCTTCGTTCGGGGGTATTAAGCTAAATTTAGCTTGCTAGTAAAAGTCGAAATCAGTGGACATTACCCACCTGCGACTTATAATATAAAGTGAATAATACGACCAGGTGGCTTTTAGAAACAGAAGGGCGTCAAGTGCGTATCACTTCGCGCGCTGGTGGTCTACACTTGACTTCGACGCTTACGTCTATCAACTGGTCTAACAAATTCACACGCATATTTTTCTCAAAGCGTCAACGCCAAGCTAACCACTGCCTGAGTGATGGGCCTGCAGTACTTCTAGGCAAAAAAAACTTGGCTGGGGCAGAAATTCAACAACGCAGTTGGCATGACAGTCTGTATTGAGTGCCTGCAGACTACAGGAAGTTGAAATGCGATCCGAAAACGCCTGTCGCAGAAAGCAGAGCCCAGAGGACCCCCAATTACCTCTGAAAGTTGTGTATAAGGGTAGAACTGGTCGACAAAAAGAGTGCGCGGTGAAGGTGCCGGAAATCGTCACGCGTGGACAGGTATAATCCATGACATAAGCAATGCCGGCTGGATCAGGCATGATACAGCCGTATTAAATCAAGTCAAGTCAAGCAGACTCAAGGAGAAAATGTCGATGTATTTCCCGCAACTGTTAGTAGATGTCCCTAGAAATTGCTGACGATGAATTTGTTTGTTGACTATTGAAACGATAAACACGCGAACCCCGTTACCAGGTAATGGACTCAGTGAGGGACACTTAAAATCAGTCATCATGATTGAAGATAACATGTTACCGTGTCTTGTAGTCTGCCCCTATCAATAGATGACGCAAGCAAACGTGGTAAGCGAAGGTTGATGCGGGTAAGAAGGAACAGAACAGATGGAATTTGATGTTTTTGAAGGAGGAGAATGCAAAGATCGACCCAACGGCTTACACGGGTTTGCCTGATAACCGCCAAGCCGTGACCTAGAAGGTTGCCAACCCCACAAGAAATGCTGTCACGACGACAAGAGTCGAACTGAAGGGGCCACTTCCTAGCGGGTG